TTCCTGAATTCCCACAATGCGAACAAGCTTTCCCCGAACATTGTTTTTTTCCAGACAAAGATGCTTTTATTAGGCTTTACCACTAATCAGAAGTTTGTAATAAAACTTTCCTACAACTAATCAACAATAGATGTGGGAAAGGGGCTAGCTGTCATCTTCCTGGTTAATATAGCTCTGTGTGGGCAATATTGATCCTATTTACAGTTACCACTACTCCTGAATATGGTGAATAAGTATATGATGAGCTGTTTCACGATTATGAAATCATCAACCTTCTTTTCTAAGATTAAACTCAAAGATGAACAATACCGTAAGATGATAGTAGCAGAGACAACAAAGAACAATCACAAATTGCAGACCCTTAAAGAAGAAACATGAGAGGATGAAGTCAAATGATTTGAAGATTTGAAATTCTAGACAGTTAATTCTTAAAATAAAATTAATTTCAGTAATAGCTTTAATGGATTTGGGGGTCTTTTCAAAAAAAACATATCCAGCTTCTGTCCGTAAGGAATCCTTCTATTTCAAAGTCACTACAGAGGTCAGTGGAAATGAAGGGCCTACGTGGCCTTTGTTGGATCCATTTTAATGGATTTGGGGGTCTTTTCAAAAAAAAACATAGCCAGCTTCTGTCCATAAGGAATCCTTCTATTTCAAAGTCACTCCAGAGGTCAGTGGAAATGAAGGGCCTATGTGGCCTTTGTTGGATCCAGAAGCATTTTACCACTCAATACTGCTAGTCAGGAAAAGAATTAGGCTTTTGTTACCGATTCTATCAGCAAAAAATACAATTACTTGGAAGCAGGCAGCAGCCTTCCCAAGAAACTCATGCATTTATCCTGGATTAAGTTAATTTTTACAACAGTTTTATATAACACTTTTTATCTGAGGAATGCATGTTATTTTAGAACTATGTAACAGCCGGACATTAGAGTGTCTGGTACTGTTTACATTCTTAGTTTACACAAGTACTGATATTCTTAGTTTATAGAAGAGGAAACAGATAGAGAAAAATTGAATGACCTATAGCTGATGCCCAAGGTCATCCAATGAACTGTACAAAAGTAGCTATAGAAGTCAGCACTCTTGGCTTCTTATTCTTGTGCTAAACACCAGATAATCCATTAAAACGTTTATCCTATTATATTAGGCTGTTAAGAGTCATATGATATGATGAACTTCTCCAAACTTTGCTCTTTTTTTTTTTTTTTTGGATACAGAAAAAACCCCCTAAAAATAATAACTGTAAACATTCTATTAAAAGGCATAAACAATCTCTTACCTGGTGCTTCAGTAGCAAAGTGTGAAAGAGGCACAGCAACTCAAAGAGAACTTACAGAGAGAGCATTTTTAGCTCACAGTTGTCTTCCTTCGCTGGACAGCAAGGAATTCAAACAGTAATTACATATACTTCGATTTTACTTTCGGCAGGTTCTTCTGACTGCGGAGCACGTAGTCGTTACTTCTGAGGGAGGCAGATCCTCCAGGCAGTTCCTGCTCCAGAAGCCGTTGAGTTTACACCATGTTGCCGAGGCAACTCCCTCCTCACCCCGAGGGCATTTTGCTTGGAGGAGTTTAATGCCAAGAGCAGTGTTGAGCCGTGAAAACAAACACTGTTGAACTAAACGGCAGCATTTTAAGCTCTGCTCACAAGGCAGATCTTCCAGCATCCAAAGGAAAGCATATTTACCTTTTCTGCTTACCTCTATTTATGCTTTTTGAGTACTTTATCTATCTGTACGTCACTTTAACTTTGCAGTCAGTCCCTTCACCTCGACACTCCCTGTTGCTCATGAATCGTTTTCCTTTCAAGCAGCCTTAAACAGCAAACTATAAGGATATTTACTTTTTTTAAGCAGTAGACTATGCTAGGGGAGGAGAAAGGATAAAAGGGGCACAGATGGGCTCAGGCTGAGTTGAAGGGTTTTGAAGGGAACTAGTTTGCCCTGGGACACAGCAGCAGGGTGACATAGCGAGAGGGGAGGACAAGCATCCTGCTTTGTTTTATAGAATCATAGACTGTTGTGAGTTGGAAGGACCCACAAGGATCATGAGTCCAACTCCTGTCCCTGCACAGGACAAGCCCAACATTCAGACCATGTGTCTGAGGGCACATGTTGACCAAATGCTTCTGGAATCTTTTCAGGCTTGGTGCCATGAGCACCTCCCTGGGGAGCCTGTTCCAGTGCTCCACCACCCTCTGCCTCAAGAACCTTTTCCTCATGGCCAACCTCA